TGACACCGACAACTCCTATGTCCCGATCAACCAGAAGACGATGAGTCCTTACAAGAATATTTACACGGTCCTCGTCCAGCCTTTGACTACTTTGGATTCCCTGTCGAAGCCCTTTTTCTTACATTAGACGGAAGTGCCGACTCCTTTGAGTTCCACCGTCACCACGACCCTTACCGCGTGTTCGAGCCTCGCCCTTGTCCATTGGTTAGTATTATTCCCCACGCCGATGTCGACATGCATGTCTCTTAACCCCACAAGGTGCGTGATGCTACCGGTGCTCTCAAAGACCTCGGTTGGATTGACGACTTCGACTTGGCCCCAAATACTGACCCTCGCCGCTTTTACTAGTCATGTTATCGGGTCCCCTGATCAAGGTGTTGGTGTCCTTAGAAGGCCTTCATCTATTACTGCGGCTGAAGCTGTTCTATCGAGGTACACGATGATGCTGAGTCGTGGCACTGTTACTCAATGTGACGGTACATTCGGAATGTAACATTCCCTATGCCCTTGGGATGGAGTTTCGATCGCTCCCTGATTAAGCCCTTCGAGAATGAGGACGACGAATGGTTTGACCAGTACCCTACTCAAGCATGCTACGACAATGCCCTTGGCAGCTCCTTTCGTGTTGCCCATGCTCGGAACCTACGCCTCTACGAAGGTAATCGTAACCCACTAGAACTAGCTCGAGAGTATAAGCCCTTACGGTGAAATGGTCGGTCGGCCGGTTGGTTAGTTGGTTGGTTTGGTTCGCGGATGGAGATGATAGACTTGATGGATCGGTTGAGTCCCTTTTTATTATTGCCCTTTTATCTGCTCTGACTATTGACTGATATACTTATCTCTTATCCTCTTAGCGTGATCCAGACTAAGAGGGGGGGAGTGTAGGGATCGCGCCCTACGCGCTCGCCCTTGTAATCGTTATCGTCTGATCACTTATATTCGCTCGCCATCGATCGCGCTATGCACGTATGCGCACTGTGTGATCATGAACTAAGGATAAGTAGAGTTACAACCCCCTTTTGATCCTTCTCACTCGGCTGCCCTTCCACGAAGGTCTGCCCTTGTTGTGAAGTTCGACTACGCTATCCACTGAAGTCTGGCTACTAGTTGTGTTGCCCAGTAACAGGCACAACATTCTGTTAGGGTTCTGCCAGACTGGACTGAACTCTGCGCCATTAAGGTCTCAAAGAATGAAAATCTAAGTGCCTTATGATCTCTTATATAAAGTTGAACCTCTTAAACCAAACTGATCGTCGTAAAACTTAGGCTGTTCTGCCAAAAGCGAGATCGAGAATATTAAAGGCGTCGATGATCAATAGCATGTGCGCGCGTGCGACGAGCATCCCCTGCACGCATACGCTGTCTAAAGGCGCCTATCCAGAGGGTGCTCTGACATGCCCCCCGGATGCTCGGTAATACGGGCGCACATTACAATAGTGAACCTCCTTGATCTTATCATCCGTCACATCTTCGGGCTTGATTGACGCCTTCACCAAACGAAGGGTAACCGCCCCGATCACACCACACACTCTATATATCTCTTGACCATAACTTCCTCCACCTAGAGGATTGGGGGAAAAAATCAACACCTCCGAACCAACAGGAGGTGGGCCGCGAGGCCTCCTCCCTAGATGTTGCGACCGCAGCTCGGCTTCGGCCGCCCTAGCTTCGTTGACAATACGATCTATCTCGTCTCGAACCTCTTCCCTAGAGGTCGCTTCTTCCGAGCCAGCCGGATGAACTGCTCCTTCGTCCGCAGGAATTACTGCATTCTCCACCGAGAAACGACGACGCCTCGCGAAGAAGATCTCATGGGGTGAGAGAGCAATACCAGAGAGAGGTTTGTTATTCAAGCGGGATATAGCTCTACCGAGCTGAGTAGGCCAACTCCTCTTGGAGGCAACTTGGCGAGCCACAAACTTTACTGCGGCGACCGCCCGCTCGACGATCCCATTCGAGAAAGGGGAGTATGGCGGCAGTAGCTTGTGAGCAATGGCGCGGGATTGCACGAAGTCAGCGAACGGCTTCGAACGTACCACAAGGAAGACGGTCACTTCGCCGTACGCAAGACCCTCGACAAGCTCAAGTTGCATGCCTATTGGCCCGGGATGGGCACAGACCTCCTCAACCACGAGAAGACATGCCCTAGATGTACCCAGGTCAAGGCAACGGTACCTCGAGCCCCCTTAGGAGTTATGCCTATCGGCAAACCCTGGGACTTAATTGCTATCGACCACTTGAAGGTGCCCCCCAATGCCGTTAATATTCGTTCACTATTGGTTGTCCAAGATTATTTCACACGGTGGGCTACTGCCATACCGGTGAAGTCCGAGGATACCACAGAAGTGGTTAGAGCCCTGTTAGATCTTTTTAGCATCTTCGGGCCCCCTGGTCGTGTGCATAGTGACCAAGGCCATGCGTTTGAGTCGAATGCCCTTAGGATTGTCCTTGAGCGTTTAGGAGTTGAGAAAAGCCATACCACACCGTATCACCCCTCGGGTGACGGCTTGGTTGAGCGCTTTAACCGATCATTGATTGGCCTCCTCCGGACTCATGTGACCGACTCTCACCAATGGCCTATGTACCTTCCTTCTTTATTGTGGCACTACAACAGTTCTGTTCACTCAGCGACTAGGTTCGCCCCGTTCACATTAATGTTCGGTCGTGAACCGAAGTCTGTCTTTTTGCCATCGTTGCAGGCCCTTGATCAGTTCTCCTTCGACCCATTTGGGTATAACGAGTACGTCAAGGCCCTCTCAATCCACCTCGAGGATCTTGTTGACCTCGCCCACGCCTCCGCCTCTGCTGCAGCCCAA